CGTGCCGGGCCTTTTCTCCCTCTTGTCCTAACGCGAGTGGCGAAACGCCGTTGCTACTGTTGCTTTACCATCGTCCAACTTCTTGCCCGCCCCCCCCGGTGTTTGCCATCGGGATTGGGTTTTCGTCACTTGGCAACGACGTTGTAAAACCAGCCCCCCCCCTCGTTGATGTCCATGTGGCAAATCGGAGGAGAGTAGACCCCACATAGTTGGGGAGTGTGAGTTGTACAGGAAGGAAAGAGAGGATCTCGAGGAGGAAATGAGACAGAGAGGATGTGACATGGACAAGTTTGGTAGATTAGACAACAGCGAAAAAACGATCGCGATAATTGGGGATAGATGGTGGGCACAAGAGACCCTAGAGGACGGGGATAAGATGTGCAAGAAATTTTTATGGAGTTTGTGGCAGAAACGTAAAGAGCTCCCAAATGTTGGTGGTGTCTCTAGTAGGGGTAGGAACGGTGCTCCGTCTCGAAAGGGACGCGTGGTCAATGGTCAAATGACTACGGCAAGCAACAAATGAGTACGCCCCCCCCTCGGTGTTTGCCATCGGGATTGGGTTTTCGACGCTTGGCAACGACGTTGTAAAACAAGCCAGTTCACTTCGTGAACTCGGCAACCAGGTTACCATTTTTTTTTTTTTGCGGTAACCATAATGGTGGTCGAGTAGATCATGTTGTGCGGGGTGGAGAACCCTCACTCCGCGCAAGGGGGATAATCGCACCACGTTGTGTTAAAATGGTCAAGCATCCTCGAGGCAGTTACACAGTGCTTACAACTGTCTCTGGAAGTGAAAGCACCAGAAAATAAATTAAGTCATACGCAGCTGTCATCCGTACGCAAGGAAGTAAGCACAAGATGCCGAACACCCTTGCCAGGATGCAGCTCACCCTTCATGCGACTCGCCAAATACCTCACGGCGCTTCGCGCTTGGTGATGTGAGAGCCTGGTCCGGTGAGAACCCGGCGTGCCGTCCCGGCTTTGTAGGGATGCGAGGTCAATGGTCTAACGACTACGGCATGCACGACTATGAGTAGACCCCCCCCCCCCCCCCCCCCCCCCCCATTTGTTTCTTCCCTGTGGCCCACCCCCCCCAA